GCTATAAATATTTTTGTACATGTGAGTCCTTTTCCTGTTTTTGTGATCTCTTTGGGATACATAGAAGTGGTATTGCTGGGTCAAAGGGTATGCACAATTTTATAAGCCCTTTGGGCATAGTTCCAAATTGTTCTCCAGCATGGTTGGATCAGTTCACAACTCCACCAACAATGCATTAGTGTTCCAATTTTCCCACATTTGTCAACATTTATCATTGTCCTTTTCTGCCATATTAGCCAGTCTGATAGGTGGGGGGTGGTACCTCAGAGTTGTTTTAATTTGCATTTCTCTAATCAATAGTGACTTAGAGCATTTTTTTATTTGACTATAGATAGCTTTAATTTCTTCATCTGAAAACTGCGTGTTCTTGTTCTTTGACCATTTATCAATTTGTCCTGTAGACTTAAGCTCAGTGTGTCCAAAACCAAACTCATTATCTTTCCCCTTAAAATTTCCCCTCTTCCTAATTCCCCTATTATGATCAGGTCCCACAATCCTCCTAGTCACCCATACTCACAAAGTAGATGTCTTCTTTGACTCCTCAGTCTCTCCCCCTTACCCAGTATATAGCCAAGTCATTTCTATTCTAATATCATAACATCTTTCATATATGTCCTTTTCTCTAATATTGCTGACACTGTTTCAGGTCCTTATTGCCTGACATTGGACTATTGTACTAGCCTTCTGGTTGGTCTCCCTGCCTCAAGTCTCTCCCTGCTATGACAGTTCTTCCACTCAGCTGTCACATTGATATTCCTAAAATGCTGATCTAATTATGTCACACACACAGCCCTCCCCAACTAAATAACTCCAGTGGCTTCCTTTTACTTTTAGGAACAAATAAAAAATCCTCTATTTGGTTTTTAAACCCTTTCATAAACCGGCCCCTTCTCACCTTTCCAGTCGCCTTACTCTCCCCACCCCTTCAAACTGGTGACACTGATCTCTTTGCCATACTTTGCACAAAACACTCCCATCTCCTGACTGTTGTCACCAACTTATTCCCCATGCCTGGAATTTTCTCCCTCCTTATCTCCCAACTCCTGGCTTCCTTCAAGTCCTAGCTAAAATCTCACCTTCTGTCTTCCTGATCCCCCTTAATGATGATGCCTTCTCTTTGTTGATTATCCCCAGTTTATCCTGTATATATTTTGTTTGCATTATTGTCTCTCATTGAATTGTGAATTCCTTGAGAATAAGGACTTTGTTGTTGGATTTGGTTTTAGTTTTGGCCGTTTCATCCCCATCACTCAGCACAATGCCTGTCATATGGTGGGCACTTAATAAATGCTTTTTGACTTCTTGACAACACAGTGTGGTTTAGAGAAGTTTATTTGTGTAGCCTAATTAATATTAAGTGGCATTTGATGGAAAATTTTCCTTAAAGGCTATTTGTTTTTCCCAAGTTCCCTCAACCACCTCTTCTGTCCCCCACCCCCAGGTGTTGATACATTCCCCCCTATCCAGTTGAGTGTAGGGTATATAAACAGAAACTGCTTATACTTACTGGGC